TTTATATTTTTACAGGTGATTCTGAACTGCTCAGCGCTGCAGTCCCTACTTCACCTCCTGAGCAGCCCCAAGGAGTCCATCAAAAAGGAAGCCTGTTGGACAATCTCCAACATCACTGCAGGGAACCGAGCACAAATCCAGGTGTGTTTGTATGCATGGCATTCTGCATAATAAAAATAATTTTTACAGAGGCTGGAAAGCGGAGCACTTGAATATTTTAGTATGTCTAATAAATCTTGTCTTTGTAGATGGTGATAGATGCAGGTCTGCTGCCTCCTCTTATCACTATCCTGCAAGTAGCAGAGTTTCGCACAAGGAAGGAGGCAGCGTGGGCCATTACCAACGCCACCTCGGGGGGCTCCGCAGAACAGATCAGGTAAGACACTCATGCTGTCAACAGATAGTATGTAATCTACTGAAATGTGACTTATTCTTTGGTAATAGATGACATTTTGGTGTCTCAAGAAAAAAATTAACTCATATCACAGATCAAAAATAATAATACAGTGCATTTGGCTTCTCTAAAGGTATTTTAAAATTAATGATTGTAGAAATCTCAACAAATAGAAACTCAAAACCTAAATGTTGAATCTCTTCATAAATTATTTCAGGACATGCGACCTAGACTATCAGCAATGAGCTGTTAATCTGAATTCTGCTACTTCTAGGTAGTAGGTTGGCAGTGGGATTAGGGAAACATTTTTTTAGCTGGTACTCAGACCTCAGGTGTAGCTTTATCTTTTGATGCAGTATGTGTGGCCTGCTGACTAATACTTTCTATCCATTGTTAATCCAAAAACAATTATTTGTTTTACATGAGTAATGAAAGTTCTATTCTGTATCTGTGTATATTCACTGCCACCTGCAGGCACCTTGTGGAACTTGGCTGTATAAAACCTCTGTGTGACCTGCTCACACTTATGGACTCCAAAATAGTTCAGGTGGCTCTAAACGGCCTGGAGAACATCCTGCGACTGGGAGAACTGGAGGCCAAGAGGGGAGGAGGCATCAACCCCTACTGTGCACTCATTGAAGAAGCCTACGGTAAGCACACACACTGTCACAACAATTACACTTCTCTACTTGGTGAAGAAAGCAGTATTGCATGTTAACACTGCAGAGAAACACCAGTGCAGAAGATAAAACTGTAATCGTTCCTTTTTGCTTCTTCCCAGCAACATTGTAGAGTAACCACCAATACTGTCTATACCATTCTATATTTTTCACATTTTAGAGGAGACCTGTTCTTTTCTTATTTTAGTCAAGCAGGCACATCTTAGTGTTTTTGCTGTCAGTGATGCTGTGAGGTTGTGTAGAAAGGCCCAAACACCTACAAGCAGCAGGTATTTATGTAATAATGTCTGCTGCTTATCAAATGATGCACTAACTAATTTAGCTCAGGAAGTTTTTACTCACTGTAGTATATTATATATGTTACATAAACAAACAAAAGACACACTTTGACTTTAATAGTTACACTGATATACTTATGGTAACAATCCTCATAAATTATATTGTAGCCTTGTTAAATCTGAATGTTTATCTGAGAATGCAACTATTTTTTTTAAAGATCACTTTATTTGCTGATGTGTTCTTTTAAATTAAATTAACAGAGTAATCATTCAATTTGAAGCATTTTCCTGATTCCCCAGTGATGTGAAGATGTTAAATTGAGCAGGGTGTAAGCCAATCAAATCTTTACATTTAAGAGACAGAAAACATAAAATGTTTTAACCGTTTTGATACTAATATAATGAACTAAAACAAAATTTAAGGCAGGGGTGATGAAACATTTTATGAGAAGATAAGAAAATTACAGCCATTTTGTATAATAATTAAAATAAAAATATGCAGGAAATGTCTTTGGGCTTAGTTTTTTTCAGCTTGGTCAAATTTGTCAACACAACAAGCTTTAGGAGGCAGTGATGTCAGTGATGGCCAAACCAAGAGTTAGAAACAAAACAAAAATAATAACTTGTGAGATAAACAAAACTATAATACATTTGTCTGCCACTAAAAATCGTTTTCATTATGGACCAATCTGCCTATTGTCTTGATTCATTGATTCATTCAATTGTGTCATTTACAACGTGTCAGATAGTAAACAATAGCTTTCCAAGGGCCCAGATGATTTATTCAAATTGCTTGTTTTATTCGGCTGTAGGAACAAAACCCAGACATTGTTTGCTATTATAAATGACACACAAAAGCTGCAAATCATCGCATGTTAGAACCTATATCAGATAAATGTCATTTTTACTTACTGTAGTAGTTACACCGATATGAAAATAGCCAATGCATTTTTAGTTGATATACTAATTTGTTAGTGCAGTGATTGTTGTAGCTCTAGACAGTTTTACTTGTTAGGTGAAATAATGAATCAAGTATTTAAACTGTTGGACGTTACCTTTTTTGTAGATAGACTAACCATTTCATTACTTCTCTACTTTCTTCTTCTCAGGTCTGGACAAGCTGGAGTTCCTGCAGGGCCACGAGAACCAGGAAATCTACCAGAAAGCCTTCGACCTGATCGAGCGCTACTTCAACACTGAAGATGAGGATCCATCTCTGGCTCCGGCCGTCGACCTGCAGCAGCAGCAGTTCCTCTTCCAGCAGTGCGAGGCCCCGATGGAGGGCTTCCAGCTATAATGCTAAATCCTCCCTTTCCCTCGTGCTCCACCTTCATCCTCACCTATGCTCACTTCTCTCACTCTCTGCCCACTGCCATGATCCAGGGTGACAACAGCCCTCGGCTTCCCCTTTTCATTGTCAGAGAGGTTGATTTAATCATCATGATTATTTAAAAAAAAAAAAAAAAAAAAGATAACTTTACAGGAGCACATGTGTGTGCGTACGTCCAACTTGGGTCAAGTTCTGCAGTCTTGTCAGCCAGTTTGTGAAGGTTTTCACTCATCATTCTGTCTTGCGCCGATTTCCTCAGCACCTGAACCCCCCCCCTCTACCCGCTCAGGCCCCAGCATCTCCTACTAGCAGATTGTCCCTGTAACACCAACCCTTGTATTTTGTTTTGGATTTCCTCCTCAACGCATCCCAAATGAAAAGCACCTCTCCATGTTCCTGTAGGATTGGCAATCGCTATCTGTGAGTCAGTGGGAATGTTCGGACTGCACTGCTTGTCTGATTGAAGCATTAAGGACTCGCAAGACAGACAAACATGGACGTGATTTGTACCCCTCTCCCACACACATAGAGAAGAATGATCTAACCTAAACACTGGACTGACCATGAGACGTTGACCACATGTTTGACTGTGGTCACTGGACTGAACTGCCCACAGCGGGGCCATGTGGCCAGTCTCAAACCAAGGACTGAACTGACCTCTACGAAAGGCACTTAATCGACTCAAAAATGGAGATTGGATTCCCTCACATCCCGTCTCCAACCACAGATGGACAAATTAGAAACTTGACTGTGTTGCTGAAGGGTGGAGCTTGTCAGTGACAAACCAGGCTGCTTGCATTCCCTCCTGGATCTCATATCTTGCATTCCTCTATCCAGTAATGGGACTTTTCCACCTGCACAGGCTCCATCCTGAAGAATTTAGACTGCCTCCTGCCTTCTGGTGTGATGTGAATAACCCCATGGAACCATGGGAATTGGAGTCTTCCCTCGCACTGAGACAATTAGACAGACTTGGACAAGACAAAACAGACTATTTAACGCTGGATTCTGTCCAGCAGTAGACCAGCGGGAATTTTTATTATCTTACCATAATTTCATTTCATTTCATTTGCAGCACTTTAGTTCAGGACTGATGCCTGCTCATCGACAGATACCGTAGTTCTGACATTAGCTATTTAATTGGTTGATGACACGGCTCTTCCCTCCTCAGGAAGCGAGGTGTAAAGAGGGGTGGTCTCTATCCTCGGTCCCCTTCTGGTATGACAAGGATTACACTGTTTACCCTTCCCACAAAGGGACTCAAGCAGATTGTGGACTGAAACTGTTGGCACACTTATCACAATCAGAGGATCATTCTGCCTCAGCAAAGCTAGAAGAACTTTATTCTTACAACTTTTACCAATCGGACTGTATTTGGAAAATTAGCTGTTTAGCTGTGAGCAGTCTAAAACAAGACTTTCCAACACATGTTCAGGTAGTGTGTTTTCAATTTGATCATGCCAAATCATTATCACGTATATCAGCTAGTAGGCCTAAAGTTGGTCTGTTTTTAAAAAAAAAAAAAAAGAAAAGAAAAGAAAGAAAAGAAAACATGATTAATTTTTTTTTATTTGGGGGTTAGCATCTGTCATGTAGCTGATGGTGCCATAATCCTTCTTCTACAGAAATCCTTCCACATAATTTCAACGAAAATCCAGATTAAAACTTGAAAATCCTGGTATCACTTTAGTTAGCAAAACTGAATGTTTGTTTACCAAGTCCTCTTTACATTGCTTACTTTTGTCGATATCTCAGCAAGAGATGACCAGCTCTACATGTTCATTACTGTTTGTTGTATTGGGTTTGTGCATCTGTCCCCTGTTATGCCATTTGCATAAAAGTCGTTTCATGAACTACAGTGTTATATGAATCGGTTTCATTGTAGTTAGTACACAGGAAATTTTCTTTATGAGAAGTATACAACTATAAAAGAATAATGAACTTTATGTGCTGGCGGCAAGGAACAATTATTTTCAATATTATTCTGATTATTTTCTCAGTTGTTTTTATATGTTATATAATAGTGACAAAATGCCAGTCCCAAGGTCATGGTGCTGGTTTTGGTTTGGCTTTTGAGCCATACCAAAGAGATGAATAATTTACTGTCAAATAAAAGTAAGAAAACAAACATGTTCCCATTGTAAAAGGCAAAGTTTAGTTAGCAGTGCTTCATGTATAAGGACACAAGGGGATACCATGATTTTAACAAGACAGAATCCATGAAAATACCAGCAAATGCTCAGTGTTTGAGGAAATGACATTTCCTTTAGCTGTGGAGTTTAAATGAGCCAGAACCAGATGAGGTCACGCAATCAGCCAAGACATCTCAAGAAGAATTTCTTTATTGAACTTTTTTTTTCTTCTTTTTGTGGTCCTATATACTAACAGATGCCACACCAGCCTTGAACAAACAAGCCTAATTACATGAGTATCAGGACAGGACAGACAGTTTGTGTCTGATCCACAACTTGATGTTCGAGGAAAACTGAAGACTCGACATGTCTTCAAAAGGCAGTTTAATGCGAACACTTTACCACTGATGCAAATTTTTAAAAACAGGCTGCCTTTGGCAAAAATGTATGAGAGGTAAGTGTTTGAAGTTCACTAGATGCGTTGATAAGAAGAGAGCTTGACTGATCCCAGTGGGGAAATAAAAATTGTCTGTTAAATCATTTGTCACAGTACCAAGTTCAGTCCTGCTATAGGTTTCCATTCTCCTGTGAGACAACCAAATACTGGCGCCGCAAAAATGGTTGGTACCAAGAGCCAGTTTTATAATTTCATACATTCAGTCAGATAAAACTGTGCATTATAGTATTAAATAGTTTATGGTTGTGTGCTAAGGCCAATCTCCAACTACTAACTATTAACTGCTGTGATGTCTTTCGATTGTACTACTTCTTCAAAGGATGGGAGTGAAGAGCTCGGAAGTCGTGGTTCATACAGCAGGAAGGGACACTGCGAGCCCAGTATGTGGGGAAAACATGACCCAGTGAAGACGTCTTCCATCACTGAGGCTTCTCAGACAGGGCAACAGCATTTTGGCTTTCTCTTTGGAGTTCCTCCCTCCATTTGGCTTTCTTCGCCATGTTTTGAGCTGTCAGGGACTCATTCCTGCCTGCAGCCTGTAACGAGAATCAAATACAGGTCAGAATATTTTAATGTGCACTGAAGTACGAGCAAACAGTTAAACACAATATAGTGAGATTATCTGGTTGTAGCTGCATAAAAGAGCATTTTTCTGGCTTCACACTCTTCTATCGTGATAAACAATATGTTTGGGTTTTCTAAAGGGAAGCAACTCATATTTCCATTACAGATTAATCTGTTGATTATTTTGCTAAAATATTTAGTTGTTTGGTCCAGAAAATGGTAGAAAATGGTGATGAGTGTTTCCCAAAGGCCAAGATGAAATCATCAGGAACTGAGTTTACAGTCATACAAGTGGAAAGAATTTTGAATTTTAGGAAGCTACAATCAGAATTCTAACTGAAACAGATTTATTGTTTATCCAAATACTTGGCCATAAATCGAACAGTTAACTAATTGACTGATTGATGCAGTTATAGCTCTGAACTGTAGATCAGACTTAATGAGGAATCTGAAAACATCAACTTTTTGGAAATTGGGGTTTCTTTTCAAAATGTTCAGGTGTGTTACTGACCAAACACTTAATTGGAAGTTGCAGCTCTGTGTTTAATAATAAGATGAAGCAACAAACGAAGGCAGGGACAAAGGTGCTTATTTCCATAGTTGTAAACCATCCATACAACATTTCTCTCCTTGTTGACAGATCCTGGAAAAAAAAAAAAAAAAAAAAAACAACTATGCGTGCACACAAAATGCATTCATCCTTTGTCACTCACCCTTTTGCCCAGGATCACCATCAACAAACAGGCCCCTATTGTGGCGGCCATCATCATATAGGCAACCTTCACTCTAATTTTGTTTCTGGCCGCATCAATCATCTCGAATCTGTGGAAAAGGCAGATGTACAAACACTCATTAGAATGTATTCTCTTCAACACACTTGGGACTGACATTGTCATGAAACAATGTTGACGACTTCAGCATTGCCGCTTTCTTTAGATATTTTGTGCGGTTTTTTTTGATGCTCAGCGTTGTTAATCGTGATTTTCCTTTGTAGTTTCAACAACATCAAAAAGCTATTCAAGCTTTTCTCAACATCTTATGTCAGCATTTAAAATACGAAATATTCTCATGCTGTGTCCTGAGTCCTTTGTACATTTTGTTTTGTTATAGAGAAGATAAGACGAGGTGGGAGGGCTTCAGGTTCTATGCATGACAAGGAGATGTTTTATCGCAGCAGCAGCAGATCAGATGAGATCTCCACCCCGATGTCAGGAACCCTAGTAATTACTTCCAGCCACAAACAGATGCTTTGTTTGAACTGCAGCCGTCTCAGAGGACCAGCAACACACTGTGCCGCTGCTCATCCAGTTAGTTGGCTCTGTTCTTGTGATGTAACTTAACTAAATCATACAAAGGGCGTATCGGACACCAGTGTGCTGGGAGGTCTCGTATAAACAGGAAAAGGCTACTTACGACACAGTCTCTGGTATCTGGTCTACTGTCTTAAAGCGTCCCGTCCACACCAAAATCTTCTTGTCCATGTTTGAGGGTCTGCAGCCTGGGAGTCTGAACAGAGGACGCTGAGCTGTATGAAAGAACAAAGCACACATAATAATGAACAAACAAACAGAGTGCAAGTCCAAAAATTCACATCCTCAACGAAAACACTGATTCGCGAAATCGCCCGCAGACTGTGACCCCGTTTCCTGTGTCCCTCTTTTGGGACTAAAGAATAACATTCTCACACTTAACAAATAACTGAGACCTGTTATGTAAAAAAAAAATCAACTTGACAGGTCTTATAAGGGTGCTTCTGAGAAATTAACTACTACTTAAGAAATAACACTCAGAATTTTGTAGTCATTTGTTTCGTCAATTCATACCGTTAAAGCCGTGAGTTTACATTTGGAAGATAGTAACCAGTGAATCAGAAGTTTAGCAGACATTCAAAAGTGTTCTGAATTGGAAGTGAAAAGAGCAAGGAAATGATTGTGGATTTCTGTGATTGAACTAAGCCTTGCTTTGTAAGGCTGAACACGTGTGGGACAAAATCAAAAAGCAAAACAAAAATAGGACATGACAGTTTGTCTGTGATCCAAAACTCCACCCTGTGCTGGTGCTGGCGCTGAAGGTGAAGGCTCTGACTTCGCTTCTGGCAGTTTATTGCACATCCCTCTGTGGCTCCTTGTCTCAGTGATCTGTCTGCACCTCGGACCTGGTTAGACAGAAAACAAAATAGAAGTAAGTGTGTTGCAGAGCTCCAACCGATCATCATTGTTTATGAATCTGCAGACTGTACTTGGTTAAATACTTTATTTTAAAAAAATCTATTTTACTTCCTTAGTCTGCAAGGTGACTCATTTGGACTGTTTGTTTTATCGGGCTAATTGTCCAGAACGCCAAGACATTCAGTTTATGTTATATAAAAACAAGAAAAGCACATTAGTGAAGCAGGACCAGCAAAGAAAAGCTCAGTGGTCAGAGGACATAACACATGGACACAAAGGCCTTCAAGCACAGTTTCTGGTTCGATGCCATGAATCTAACTGCATATCGTTCCTTTCTTACACCTAAGGTCTGTCTGTACTGCAACTATCTGATAAAGGCTAAAATACCAGAAGAATAATGGATTATTCAATTATAAAAGTAGCAACAAAACAATAAATGGACTAATCACTCCAACTCTACTGTGTCGGATTTGAAGACAATCCTTGGACACTTGGTTCAGATTTCAATTAAAGATCAATTATGGTGATGATTATTTTCTTAAGGTTGTTTTTTTTCCCCTGCAAAATGTTATGAAATTCTAATAAATCATCACAGTTCCACAAAGCCCAAAGACATTTTTAAAATTGCTTATTTTATCCAGTCCCAAATCCAGCAAATCTCAATTTCCTGTCTCATAAGACAAACAAAAATACAACGCAATACAACTAAGGAGATCAAAACTGGGGCATATATGTTTTTTTTGGGGGGGGAAGGTTGTTTTATCACAAAACTGTTAAAACAGTTGCTGGTTAATTTTCTTCAACGATCAATCTGATAATCAGCTCAAATGACACACATTCAATATAGAATCTAACAATATATAATTTTTCACTCATAAATACTCGCAAGATGCATAATTACATTCAGTAATATGGACTCAAGAGGTGTGTCCGCTTTATGAGGTCTAAGTGTTGGAGTTTTTGTGTGATGATTAAACCGGAAAACCAAATTTCACAACAGGTGTAATATCGACATACCTGTCAACAGAACCTACGTGCCGAAAAACACACATCTCATACGTTCAATCGGATTGCATTATGACTATCAAAGAACAAGTGGTAAAATAAATAACATTTAACTAATTAATTCAATAATAATATTTTTAAAAAATAAGATTACAACTAGCTTATAGCTGTGATTTTGACAGTGACGTTAACTACAAGTGCCAGGTGGGAGAAAAACACAGTGCCAGCTAGTTATTATTAGCCGAAAGCAACACAGAAATTCCAGTTAGCTCATACGAACCGAGGAGGCTGCCGATGGAAAGGCGAGACCTGATGAAATTCATGTTGTTTGATGAAGTAACTGAGGTCCGACGTCTCTATAAAGCCATTAAAGTGCGTAGACGCAGTTCCAGCCCCCCTTCAGTTGCTGAATGTCAACTAAACCACCAGGACCCGCCAGATAACAACAGGGGGGCGCGCAGTTTGCCTGATCAAAAAAACGAAATAAGTCGCATTAAAGTCCGTTCCCCAGTTGATGTGTCTTATTTTTATGGCTGGGACGATGCCTTGGGATTCGATCATGGTTATGTTTCCTAAAAAATATGTAATGCAGTTGGCGTTACGGTGAAATTCAGTAGAGGGATTCATAAATCAGTAGGGAGAGAGCAGCCTCCAAGGCAACACGTTACTTAGTCACATTATATAATGGTCTGTATCAAATAAACTGGACTGTGTGCGTTGTTAAACACATGCATTGGCTTTGGGCAAGTCTTTGATTTATTTTATTAATGTTTGGAGCAAATGCGGTAAATATACTATCATTTAATCGTGTATTTAGCCGGACCTGACTGAAAATATGCTTATTAATAGTAAACGTCATTTTATTTTAGATTAGTTGGGGGTTTGATGCGTTATTTTCGCACTGTATTAATTATATTTTTTTAATTAGTCAGGTATTTAAAAAAAAAAAAAAACATAGACATAATATTGTTTAAGTTAAGTTTGCCAGGTTCCTTTGTATTTTTTATTTTTTTAAATAACCTTAATAATTAACCTTGGAATGTAGATTCGTACCGCCAGTCTGATTTCTCTTCTGGAAAGCACTTCGGTTCGGCAGCTGTCGCTTTAAATGTGTTGCATAAACAACGGTGACCTTTCCGCTGTGATTTACATTCAGGCACCGCCTTGAACAGCCACCCCGCGTTGATTCTGCGGAGGACCCTGCAGTCCACTATGGCGGCGCCCGGTGGAACTTTAAACTGTGAGGACTTTTCAATGTTTCAGGTAATTTTAACGAAGCATTACTAACTCTGTGCAAAGTTGTCACGGATTGACAGTCATCCGAGCCGTGACCTTTCGAAAGTTCGGCCGCCGTGTTGTGTATTTTCCGTGTAATCCAGTTAATTGGTGACCCTCCTGGTCATAGCGCTGCTCTGTAAAGGTTCAAGGAGCAGGACTGGATCAACTCAGTGAAAACTGGCAGCATGTGGGTGAAGAGTGACTGTCACAAGGCTCCAGAATAATATATTTGGGCAAAATGTGGAGACTTAACTAACTAAACTGCAGAAATACTTTAATTTTTTAGGTGATAAAACAGAAATATTACGACAGGTGTCTAAAACTGTGACTATCGAGGGGTCTCCAGGTGGTTAAAAAGATTAGAATACAAGTATTAAGTCCCACAAAAATATCCATTACTTTCCGCTCTTTTTCCTGTCAAATGCTGCAGACTGCCATCTCCTCAGGCCTTCAGTTTTTTTTGTAAGAAGATTAGACAATCCGAGAAGGAAAAGCCCCACCCCAATGGAAATGCATTCAGCTTTTTATAATAATAGATCACACATAGGCAATGCTCAAAGGCAAAAAATTAAGCTCTGTATAAGCCTCATTGTACTTTCAAATGTATTTATAGGGATGAAACAATAGTTATTTAGTGTGGAGAAGTGACCTGTATTTGTATAAATGCAGCATGCAAATGGTCTTCTTTTGAGACTTCAAGTAAAAAGTGGAAAATCTAAACTCTGTTGTTCTGGTGAGAAAAGATTTGAACCAATAGTTTTTGAGCTGTTTAACTGGTGACAAATTCTCAACCATTAAATTAATCCACAGCCTAGTCAGGTTTGGCTTAAAAGGACAACGATCAGATGGTGTCACCAGCGCACAGATGCTCCTTTGACCAGTGACTATTAAAGACCACCTTAAAATGCAGCTGTACTAAAATGACATAATTCCACAGATGACAAGAATAAGACAAGAACTGGCTGTTGACATGCTGGATACTTGAATGTCAGCCAAGGCCAACAGTTAAGAAATCACTTCAGAAAGCATTGCTCAAAAATCTGCCACACGATGCTCTGGATCAGGGGTGTCCAATCCTGGTCCTCGAGAGCCACAATCCTGCATGTTTTTGGTGTTTCCCTCTTCCAATGCACCTGATTCAAATGACCAGGATCGTTATCAGGCTTCTGCAGAGCTTGATGATGAGCTGATCATTTGAATCAGGTTTGTTGGAAGAGAGAAACATCTAAAACATGCAGGACTGTGGCCCTCAAGGACCAGGATTGGACACCCCTGCTCTGGATGGACACGTCTGATAATCCTGTCCCCCAAAATGTCTGCCATATTCGCCAAGCCCTTCAGGAAGAGTGGAACAACTTTCCGTAAGCCTGCATCGACAACCTCATTACTTTTTTGCATTGCAGATGTGATGCACTACAGGATGCAAATGGTGGACAAACTTGTTACTGACTTGTCAATCCTGGTCTATGACCCCTCCCTGCCCATCATATCTATCCAATATAATGGATACTTAGTTGTTTCATGAAGTCCATTCTTTTGTGGAGATTCCATGTGCTGGAGCAAAAAATACTTAATCTCCTATTTTGAAAAAAATGAATGAATTTCTTGCAATACTACATGCTGCATTTTTGTTTTTATTCAGTATAGATGTTTAATTTATGCCAAAAAAAATGTGGGCAAAAAAATTCTCAAATGTTTAAAGTTTTATACACAAACAATCCTTTAAGATCTTTGCTCATATAAAAGTGTCAAAAATGTGTTTTAATCATCAAGAATTCTCTGAATAAATAATCTGTTACATATGTTTAGAATTCTGACCAGACATTCATTACAAGGTTGATACTACTTGAGAAGAGTTCTTTTATAGTTTTTATATACTTAGTGTCGCTATTACCCGAAAAGCATTGAGGTTTAATGTCTGGCCAGAATGATAACTTTCTGACAGGTGTTTACCTAAATAATCAAACCATTTATCAAAGTGCTTTTCATCCATTTGTGTCTACTGGTAGCAGGCTTAAGTAGCTCAGATGTCCGTTGGAAAGTGTGTCAACTGGTAGAACCAGAACTAAACAACCCGTTGATCTCATGCTCCGTCCTACCATTTCTTGTGAACCAGATCCCAAGATACTTGAGCTTTTTGGGCTACTTGGGCAGGGCATCCGACTTCACTGGTCTGCTGCTACTAGAGATTCACATTGTGACAGTCATAAACATAACCAGAGGCAAAAGACATTTTGAGGGCATCCAAACGTTGCTTTGACAGTTTCAGTGAAGTGAAGGTTCTGATGGTCTTTGTGTGCCTGTGTGTGTTTATCAGGAGGTGCTAAAGGCGATGCGCACCATAGATGACCGCATCGTCCATGCCCTGAACACCACCGTGCCCACAGTCTCCTTCTCAGGCAAAGTGGATGCCACACAAACCTGCAAACAGCTCTACGAATCTGTGAGTGCGACTTTCAAGACAGGGATAGTGTGCTTGTTCAAAACCTGAAACACTGAAAATGTGACTCCCTGGACAATAACATGTGGTTGCATCCCACAGATGATGGAGGCTCATCTGAGCAGAGACAAAGCTATCAAGGCCTGTATAGCCCAAACATCAGAGGTGGTGGGACACCTGCGTGAAGAGAGGGCAAAAGACAGCGAAAACCTGGCACTCATCAAACAGCTCAGAAAGGAGCAGACTAATGTAAGTCCTATTGCTGAAACACCCAAATTAAATGACAGTCTCATTTGGCTCCACACTGATCTTGGTAAAGAAGCAGAACAGACAGATGTGTGAAAGAATTCTTCAGTCCAATATGTTTAAATCGAGGGACTCAAGATCACCTTTTTAAGGGGAAGAAGTTGGACCTCTTTGTTTAAGATGTTTGAGAAGAGCTACTGTGAGCAAGTCTGAGCATGTGTTTGGATCATAATTGTTGTTCAAATTGTGTGTGCATCACTTCAGTGTTGCAGATGGAACTAATTTTTATTGCTTCATATCTTGCTAGATAGATAACTCAATCTGCAGAAATATTGCATATTTTGTTCGTCAGTTTATATTTTATAGAAATAATTTGAATGTGCAAAATAAATAGAAAATAAAGTTTCAGATCCATTCAGTAAAATACAATATTTGCAGAGTAGAAATAAGAAGTCTTCACACATCTGTTTCAAAAGGCTGACTCGAATGAGAGAGATAAGTATTTCCAAAAGTTTTTAAAAAAGACTCCCGCTTACTCTCTAAGTTATTTAAATAAATAAAAGCATTGAAGCACAGATACATCAAAGTTGTGCACAAGTACTATTCTTGGGTATGTATGAACTGCAGAAGACTGAGAGATGAGTTTTAAGGTGGTAAGGGGACTCTAATGGAAACCTATTTGCATTGTGGGTAATGTAGTATACAGTGTTTCAGTAGTTTTACAATTTGTAAGAAATAAAAAAGTCCAGATATTTCGGTCTCCGTTTAAGTTTATGAGGGACAGAAAATGTGGCAGGAATTACATCGTGAGAACATAATGAGCAGATTAATGCATCTTTTGTCTTCTTGTTTCCAGTTAAAGCTAATGCAGTCAGAGCTGAATGTTGAAGAAGTTGTCAATGATAGAAGTCTGAAGGTACAGTATGATTGCTAATACCATCAGTAATGTGCTCATCATTTTATATAATCACTCATAAATGAGCTGTCTTTATCTTTTGTGTCACTTATTCAGGTTTTCAATGAACGGTGCAGAATCCACTACACGCCTCTGAAGGTCAAGTGAAGCTCCGTCTGAGTAAAGGAGAGACTCCACTCGAGGTTGAAATCCGGACTGGAGCTGAAACTGTGAGCTGCTGCTGAGTCCTGCCTGCAGGCTGTTCACCATCCAGACCTCTCTGACCTCTTCTCCATCACACTTCTATTCCATTGTGATTACTGTGTTGCATTACCACCGCTGTCAAATCGTCATCCCTGTGCTTCTTTGAAGAGAAATATTGTACAAAAACAATTTTTTAAAAAGACAATAAAATGTTTTTGAATGACGCATGTTGTCTGTTTTCAGTCGGCTGCTACTCTGCTCTTCTTCTACATGCAATAGACCAAAGTGGCAGTTTAATATGCTCACTGTTCATTTCCTCTATAGAATTAAAAGCAAATCCTTATGAAGCCAAATATGGTCGGTTTGTGG